GAGAGCACACACACACACTCACTCACTCGACACGACTGAGGGTCGGACGCAGACACAGTGGCAAGGACACAAAGTCGAAGTCTTGGATTCTGAATGCCGAAAACAGCAAGTCACACTGAGTACGAGTACAACAGCAGAGAACTGGTACGAGACTGGTCCCCGTACTGTACGGGGCACCGGTATAAGTACCGGGTCTCCGCTACAGTACCGGGGCAAATCTGCAAAAGCTCCGAGGGCAGAACTGAAAAATGCAACATTTGAAAGTGGCGCCCGAACTGCAGCATGGCGCCAATTGTCCAAAATCCGACGGTACCAAAGGAGGGGTTTGAAAAACGGGTGCCAGGCCAAAAACGTGATGCAGCAGAAACAGCAAAAAGTAGACCAGGGATCGAGCCCTGGCAGAGTCCGTAACAAGTCGCCTCTTCTTGTTGTAGTCTTCATTTCTCCCCGATATCTGCTTGGAGTTGCAGTCTCATCTCTTCCGTCCTTCTAACCATATCCATTTCTCTTCTTCTCTCTTTTTCTTCCCTTGCTTTCAGTTGTTCCTCCTCCTCTTTTTTCTTCGTCTCCTCAGCCTTCTCTTTCATTAGATCTCGTACGAACACATAAAGTTCGTCATCGTGCTGAGTCGGCTTCCCGCGTTTAACCCAGCAGTCACGGGCATAGTGCCCATATTTCCCACAGTCATAGCATCGTGTACCGTTCGGTCGGCCTCCATTACCCCCGTTGTTCCCTCCGTTATTGTTCATCCCTCATCTGTTTCCGTTAAACCCCCCTCCGTTTCCGTACATCATGAAGTATCATTGTAACGTTGCTATGTGCTAAAATTGTGTTATGTAATCCAATCACCCAGTCACTAGCTCTGTTATCGGTATTCCCTAGATTCTCCAAATGTCATAAATCTGCTCAATCTCCGTTCTCTGAAGGCGTCTTCTTAAGCGGAGTAGTCGGGCAACTCTCTTGATCCGAAGTAAGATTCCTTGCAGTTGCCTATATACCGCGATCCTTGTCCGATTGTCAGAAATCAAACCAGCTACGGCGTATACAGGTCTTAGAGTAGTGCTGACGTAAGTTTCCAGCAGTTCGACCAGACTGGCTCTAATCTCTCTATCGTTCTCCCTATTGCGTCTTGTAAGCTGTCCACACCGCTTACAGACTGGAGGCACGGTGACTAGAACATTGAACCGATCATGAAAAAAGCTATACCGAAAAATATCAGCCCACAACTATACAGCAATCTCCGTAGCATGTTAAAGTGTTTCAATCTAACCCTTCACTTATGGTAGCCACCTTCCCACGTACTAAGGTAGCTAGTTCCTAAAATCTCTAATGTCGACAAAAACAATACCGAAAAATATCAGCTCACAGCTATACAACAATCTCCGTAGCATGTTAAAGTGTTTCAATCTAACCCTTCACTTATGGTAGCCACCTTTCCACGTACTAAGGTAGCTAGTTCCTAAACTCTCTAATGTCGACAAAAACAAACGATACTCGTCCACGTTCGCGCTAACAAACCCGCTGAGTACAAATTACAGATGTATCATCACAGCCACCGTTAAGCCTTAGAACTCCGGTTACTGTGTTTCCAAGAGTGGCAGACTGCTGCAACAGCCTGTAGGGAAGGGCACAGAAACCGGAGACAACCATACACATACAATTGAGACAAAGCAAATCCTTCGAAATAGGCTCGTCGTGAACAGTACCTCAAACACAGTATTCAAAAGCTGCCCCCGCGAAACCCAACCATCAAAGCATGAGCAAGTCACCAACACATGAGTACAGCATAGTCCCTAGCTACAGTAGCCAACATCTTCCCAGTTCACTCGACAACGCAGGTCCTTCTACCGGTTTCATCCATCTGCATGGAATCATCAAGAAGGCGCGTTCGTAGAACGCTTCTATCGAAAAGAGAGGTCAGTGCCTTACCTCTTTTGCTACTTATCCGCGGCGTACTCACACTCGATAAAATAACTAAATAAAATAAATACCATAAAATAAATAAATACCCTTGAAACTTCCAATACTGGAACTATCCGTTCGTGGCAGCGTGTGCCTTCGTGAAATTGCACGCACCAGGACTACATCAGAGGCTAAAACAGAAAACCAAAATCGTAGTCTTTCTACTGCAGGCATAAAGGTCCAATGTCCTCGACTGAACTTGACAGGTACCGGGTACGTATTCACACCAAAATACGGTCCGAAAATAAATAAAACAAATAAATAAAT